CTACTAGTAGCTCTTGGCATTACTACTAGTAACAAGAAGCTACTAGTGACAAGGGCATCGCTACTAGGAGCGAGAAGCTACTGGTGGCTCTTGGCATTACTACTAGTAACAAGAAGCTACTTGTAACAAGGGCATCGCTACTTAGAGCAAGAAGCTTTCAGTAACAAGGGCATCGCTACGTGGAGCCAGAAACTACTTGTAGTTTCTGGCATTACTACTAGTATCGAGAAGCTACTAGTAATAAGGGGCATCGCTACTAATGGCAAGAAGCTACTAGTAGCTCCTGGATTTGCTACTACTAAGAAGAAGCTAGTTGGAGCAAGGATGTACTATTAGCGCCTAGCATTACTACTAGTAACAAGAAGCTACTAAATAGCAGCAAGGGCATCGTTACTAGGAGCAAGAAGCTACTAGTGCTCCTGGCATTACTACTAGTAAGAAGAGGCTACTGGGAGCAAGAATCTACTATTAGCGCCTGGCATTACTACTAGTAACAAGAAGCTACTACTTGGTAGCAAGGGCATCCTCACTAGGAGCAAGAAGCTACTAGTAGTTCCTGGCATTACTACTAGTAACAAGAAGCCACTAATTAGTAGCAACGGCATGGTTGCTAGGAGCAAGAAGCTACTAGTAGCTCCTGGAATTGCTACTAGTAACAAGAAGCTACTAGTAGCAAGGGTTTAAGGGCGCTCTTCGCCCTCCAGGGCGTTGTGTAGAAACCGTTTCTTTTTTTCCGTCGATCAAGTCTTGGAGTTTTGGGAGCGGGGTCCCTTTAAATGGTACCGGATGATCCTTCTGTGGAATCCAAAGGGTGTTTAAGTAGATAGCGTCCAAAGCCACACATCGGTTCAGATCGATTTTCCAGTGAGGTCGAATATTGCCCCACTGAAAGGCGTAGCCTTAGATATGCATCCTCATTTGGTTTCAAAACTGTAGAATCACAACCAGACGCCGCTAGCAACTTCCAAGTAGACCCAGCACTAGAGTTGACTAGAGGCTATCAAGGGAATCTAATCAGGTGAAACCATTTACTTCTTGTTGCTTACATGTTTGCAAGGCCTCACCTCAATCATCACCCACAAGCAACAAATAATCGACCATCCGAGCACTTGTTGGACAACTGACTATATAGCCATCAAATCAAAGACCATAGGAATTGAAAGGCAACTGAAAAGCACCAATTGCCTTGATAGGCATTTCTGGCCGAACTGTCGGAACCCTGAAGTAAGGAGTGGCAGTTGGCATCTTGAGCCAAGGGAAAGCCACCTTCACCTGGCCCATCATCGTGGCCCATGGCGGAGTTTACACACTATGTTGGAAGCAAGAAAGTGCACCCGAAGGCCATGAGGTCTCTTCTCATTTTCAGGTCTTTTCTTCGTGTGTAGAAACGTATCATCCAATAGCCGAGCCGAAAGTTCAATCTTCCAATCGGATACTGAAGCTGCGAACGAGATGTTTCGAATTTCGAAAGAAGACCAAGAGACTTGAGAAGACTTGAGGCCTTCAGAGTTTCGTGACCTTTCTCAGCGTTTTGGTAGTCGATGGGCCACAAGGTGGACAAGCCTGGCGCTGCAAGGTGGCCAAGGAATGTCGTTTCTCAGTACAGACTGACAATGACTTTTTATGTTCAGACTTATGGCGTTTTTTTTCTTACAGTTTTTTCTTTGGTGTTTGCTTCAGAATCACGTTCTGACTCTGTCAGGTATTAGTGGTTTGCGTGGGCAAGGCTTGCAGATGGGAGATCTTTTGCGGTTGCTTCCGCTTTGCAGCACCAATGACCTTTCAGTGCCATTTGCTTCCGGGAGCGAGGAAGGTGACTTTGATTGGGGCCTCGCGCTTGCACACTATTTGCCACAGACCTACCGACTGTGTTGGTGTCGCCCATGGAATGACACGGCTTTCTTGAATGATTCGTCTGTCGGAGTGATACCAGGTGGGATGGGAGGAATCTCAAAACCATGTTTGCATCCAGTGGGCGATGTTTGCGTTGCGACCCCAACTGCCACTGTAGAATCCGCATGCAGGTTGTGGGCCCGGAAATTCCTTGGTGGATGCTGGAGCCTTGAGCATTACTGGCCCTTCACCTGGAAATGAGTTTACTTGCTTCGCCGGGCAAACCTGTATGGCCATCCCACTCTTGGGGGAGGCGCTGGGGGACGATGATAAGCTCTTGATCATCCAGCACCATGAGCTGCATGGCAAGATGAGAAGGATAGAACAGGTCCGAAAGGGTTGTTAGTTTAGATGGAAAAAACAATCAATGTCTTCACTTCAATGTCTTCACTAGTTCAGAGTCATGTCACACTGAGGTCCTGTGGCCAAGAGCCTTCTGTGATCATCGGGATGCCCTCGTTTGGCCTCTCGGAGCCTGCGGACACACGTGGCACGCGCTTCTTCTGGCGTGACGCACCACTCACGGCCTCGGGCGCAGACTATCGGCTCTGCTGGTGCAGCCCTTCCTTGACCTCTTGCCACTTGCTTTCACGCTTCAAACGCCAACGCAAGTAGACACTAGACACTCCACATTCGGTGAAGTTTTTCAGGCAACAGTTCCACGGATTACGACACGGATGCCGGACAGCTACGCTTGATGGGTCCGCGGAGGGATCAGGTCCGGACCTGCGTGGCAGGGCTTCCATGTACGCTGCACAGCTTGGAAGGTCTCTTGGATCGAACGGGCTTCCGTTGAGGTCGAACAAGTGCCACGCTACTAGTAACAAGTGCCTTACTACTAGTAACAAAGTTCGCTATTAGAAACAAGTGCCTTACTACTAGTAACAATAAGAATTTTATTAGAATTGTAATTATTGGCAAACAAAATCCTCCTAGGACCTTTTCGCGCGCGCGCGTTCGCGCGCGCGGGGGGGGGAGCTTCTTGTTACTACCAGTAAGGCACTTGTTACTAGAAGCGATGCACTTGTTACTAGGAGCCAAAGATTTGCGCCAGGTCACTACATCCAAGACGGTGAGATTCGCATCCAAAACTCCTGTGAGGATACCGCAGCTTTGGACGTGGGCTTTGGCGGGGGCGTCGCCTTTGAGAGCAATGGCGATCTTGCATGGCCACTCCCCAATCGAGCCAACGGGGGTATCTATAAGCTTCTTTGGGGAAATTAAGGTTTTGAACGGTGACGTTGTATGATGTTGTATTTGCTTGAAGAATGCTCCACAACGGAACCTGGTGTGAGACTCGTCCAATCATTTGGCCTTGCCATGATTGTCCGGGGAACCTAGAATTTCCCACAGTAAATCGATCCATCTATATCATGCCTGCACAATTACAGCAAGTGAGGCTTTGTTGGAAAGGCATGGGCCAAAGCGTTTTCGCTGGTGATGCGGGAGACTTGGTGGTTTTGGGCCCTGTGGCCAACCATCGGCGGACTGCTTCAGATTCAGTGCCACTGCAGGTATCACTTTTCCAAGGCGGGTTGATCAATGGTCCAACTCCGGGTTGATCAATGGTCCAACTTCGGGTCCAAGGTTTACCCCGCATCAATGAAACTTTCGTTTACAGCTGGGAACTCGATATCGAATCTATGCAGCGCTAGTGGCCCTACCATCCTCAGGCGCCATGGGTTCTTCGTCTGGTTCCTCACAGATGGGAGACCGTGTTCGGATCGCCACACATTGCTCTGACGCTTGGCTCACGGCTAGACTTGGCTAGATCATGCTAGATCTACTTGCTTCCTGTCGAGACGATGGGACTTTGGGGTCGCGACGCGATTGCACCGCCTGTATTTCACACGAACCTTTTCTTATTGCAATCGCTTGGCATACAATGTGTATGTGTTGAGATGTGCTTCATATTCTGTAAGGTTCCGGATTTGAACCGTCTTAGAGCTTCCCTAATGTGTAAGAACCCTGCTGGAAAAAAACACGACATTTGCTTGACTATGTGCATCCATTTGCTATTGGGATGGTAGTGAAGGGCCTTTCAAAATTGTCAAAAATACGTTCTGGTGAACCAACGTGGAAACTACCGGAGCTGGTTTGGAAGATGTTTCTCCTTTTACAGTGTGGTAGTGTGTCAGTTGCGTTAGTTTGGGGCAGGTCTCCCACTAGAGCAGAGCTGAAGGACAAGGCCTTGTTTGGTCAAGTGGAACATAGTGGAAGTATTTGGCGCACAAAGTTGTGTCCATGTTTCTGGCGTGCCATCTCTGAGGAAGCAGCTCAAGTTGTGGGCATCGAGAGCCAAGGGATTTCGCAGAAACTTCAGCCCAATGCTTCCGACTTTAGGTGGGTCTTCGCCACAGAGAGGGCTGCCGATTGTCGCTCTTCGCCGATTCCGTATGCAACATGTTCTCATATATTCTCCGCCGATTCCGTTCTCTTACGGTGTGAGGTCATTCGGTCCCGATCGTCTCGTCAGGTGGGGTTCTTCCCTTTTGTCGGCGGCCGGTGGTGACTATCGCATTTGCTGGTGCGCGGGACACGAGTTGGACGGCACCCCACGCGCTTGTGAAGTGGCTAGCGACTTCGTGGTCGATGTGGGGACCTTGAGCATCAATGGCCCCATGGGTGGTCAGAGGTTGGGAGGGTGTCCTGTGTCGTATCACTGAGTCATCAAATTCGAGATGTTGTGAGTGGTGTGCGGAAGAGTGGGATTTTGTTGTGCCCCTTTTGTGTGGAGGCAGTCATGACATGTCATGACCCCATGTCTCCTCAGGGTTAACAGAAATGAAGACTTTTGGTGGTCTCCTCCGGATCTCGTGATCCGACGGGCAGTACTTGTACTAGGTAGTCTTGTTGGTCACGCTTGACTTTCCTTCAGGGTATATTTTGGGGTGGCATTGCTTTTAGGTTGGAGGCCATCGCTAGTAGGTTGTTTGTCGGCTTTGGCTTTTGGCGCCAGTTGGAGCTGTTCCACCAGCCGGCCCTGTGCCATCGAGAACCTCCAGGGCGCGGGACTCACGGTGAACCTTGGACAAGATTCATCCAAAAGGATCACTGACCGGCAGCGATTAGGGTGAGGTGCTTGGGTTGTTTAATGTTGTTTATGTTGTTTGACTTTTAATTCAATTCAATTCTAATTACTTGCTTCTTGTTACTAGTAAGGCCCTTGCTCCTAGTAGCGATGCCCTTTGCTAGTAATAGTAGCGTCCTTTGTGTCCATAGCGTGGCGGTTTCGACGTCGACACCGAGGCATGATCGGTTCCTCGTGAAGGTCGGCGACTGCTTCGGTGGTGCCACGCTCCGTGGCCTTCATTGGGCCTCGGACCTGACCCTGGTCGATTCCAACGGCACGACGGCCAATGTCAGTTGGGGAAATGAGTCCGTGGCTGCTGAAGGCGATACAAACGGGGCGATCAAACGGAGTTTCAAAAGACGATACAACTCGAAACTCGTCTCTTCTTCTTTTGTTTGTCGTTCGACTGACATTGAAAGCGACACCCTGGGAAGGTGGAGAGTACCGCGTATGCTTTTGTACGGAAGCCGGTTCCGAGGAGCCCTGCAACTCCCAGAACCCTCATCGTTTCACCACGGATGCTGGGACCTTGACGATCAAAGGACCCCGACCTGCACATGCCCCATGGGCTTTGCAGTTTGGCGGTGAGGGAAACGACACAGCTACACATGTCTTGGTCGACTCTGCAGAGCCGGAGAAAGGATTAGGGCATGCGTTGGTGGCAGGCACCACCAGT